AAATTTTCTGGGGCTAAAAGCTCATAATCCTCTTTGGTTCGAACTTGCCCTGAAAGGTCATCACGGCCTGTCCAAAGTACTACGTCCAATCAAAGCCATGATTCTTCTTTTTAATCCACAAGCAAAGAATGGCCAAACTTGGTGGCTAGTCATTTCAAGCCTCCAGAATAGTCATTCTTGGTCTTCTTTGGGTATGTATTGAGGAAAGGAGTCGAAGGCCTTGTTGGTACTATTAAGCATGGAATGTGTAGTCAAATGATGGTCTTTGTTTGGAAGCGTTGGTACTTGGTAATAAGGTCTATAAATAGCATAAATGTTATCTTAGGGTCCGTTGAATTTATTAATTTAAATTTTTAATTTGAGTTAGGATGTGATTTTATGTGAGAGTTTTTTATTGTAATAAAAAAATTAAACGTGACTGTTTTTAAAATTTTTTTACTGTAACAAAACCCAAATTTTAAACTCAAATCGGTGAAATGAACGAGGCATACTTTAACGATGAAGAAACATCTTATTATAACGTTTTGTTTTAAACCGTCACATTGTTAAAACTAATCAGTCGTTTTTGTATTTTTTTTAATTTAATTTTAATCATGTCCAACGTTTGCAAAAACAAAACATGTACAATCCGCATTATTATACTATATACTAAAGGAGGTCGGGGTTTCACTGTTCAAAGAACAGTGTTCTCTTGCCCCTCATTTTTCAACAAATTCCGTCTGTGTCCTTAGAAACATGTCTCTCTATTTCTGTTGTTCTCTATTTTGCGAAACACGTGTCTCACCTTTTCCTTTTCTATATTCCTGGGGAATTTCATCTGGGCTTTGTTATGATTGTACGATTTTATCCTCAATTTTGATTTGTTTCAGTTGATGTTGCTTGGGTTTTTGGTAATTTTTTGCACAGAGAGAGAGAGAGAGAGCTCTGCGTGGAAAAGAGAGAGAGAGAGAGGGAGTAGAGAGTGGTTAGCTGCCTGGGAAAAGAAAGAGATGGAGTGGTGGGACCCATTTGAGGAAAGAGAGAGAAAGAGAAAGGGAAAAGGGTACTACCAAATATCCAATGGTTCATATTTAATTATTGTTTTTTCATTTTGAATGTAATGGTTATGATTTTTCCACGTGGCTTATGCATTTTTCCATATGTTATTTTTGTACTTGGTTTATCAAATATTGTTTTTTTTGGCTGCTCCGATTACGTGAGGCGGTGCATGCATATATTAATGTGTATGTATGCGTATTGCCTTTATATGCATTGTTTGTGAAGCATGTTGAAGTTAATGATATTTATATGCATTGCTAAACCAAAATTGTGACTATAGTCAACGAAATAAATTAATTAACTAAAAAAATAAATTGTGCTTTTTACCGTTGAAAATTTTGAACTTTAGGATTGTAAGATAAAAGTATAAGTACAAAGTTATTACTTCATAATTTTTCATCAACCATCTTAAAGAATGTGAAAAAAATACATTTTGAAAATATTTTTCCCATTATTCATCAATATTAATGTCAAATATTTAACTTTAATTTCAAATGATCCGTAAATTTGCATGTTTATATTGATAAAAAAAAGACACATTTTTCTCTCTCTCCGTTTTGAAAATCAAAACTATCCATAGAGCTTGATCGGATAAACTACCATTATTTATCATATTACAGTGCACACTAGACAAATTTACTTTATTGTTTAATTATTATTTTTTTCTTAGTCTATATTTCATGGTTTTAAACACTACAAAAGTAACTTTGAATTTCAAAAATATATGTCAGTTTCATCCATCCCACGCTGTTTAAAGGAAAAAAAAAAAAAAAAAAGGTAAGAAGACGAAAAATATCCTTGAATTGTTTTTGACAAAATCTTTATGTTTCCATCAAAAGCATGATGGAAATTGGATATCTTTTCTTAAAACATTATATTTTGTTTGGAGTCTAATTGATATATTTTGAATGTTTAGAATATGTACCCTATAATTTTGTTATCCCGTACTTAAAACGTAATATAACACTGATACCATTTTGTCTACAAAATACTATAAAGATACCTTATAGTGTTTAAAATGTCATTCTAAGAATGCTTTTTTTTTTTTTTTTTTATATGAAATGTCCGACTAATCGTTTTATTAATAAAGTCCAAATAAATTCATAAAAGTATTAAAGAAAAAAACAAAAATGTAGACAAAAAAGATTGAAGAAACCCACCAATCTAGATTTGTTTGGCGGGTTTTATTTAAATTTTTTTGTATAGAATAAGGAGAAAAATAACATAATTAATAAAGTTATTAGTAAATTATAACATATTTTTTTTTAAAAATAAATTATAATATAATTGGTGAAATAATTAGTAAATTATAATATATTTTTTAAAAATAATAAACTTTTATAAAATTTGATATTTTAAGTTTTAAATATTATTAAAAACTTAAAAATACTCATAACCCTCTTTTTCTACTTCACTCATTCCTCCTAAATATTTATTTTTTAAAAAATAATAAATTATAACATATCTTTTAAAATATGTAGATTCAAAAATCCAACTAGCAGTAACTAACTATAAATATTATATTTATCAATATATAATATATTTATTAATAAATAAAAATAATTTCTGTCTAAGATTAAAAACTTTTTCATTTTCATTTTCATACAAAAAAAAAAATTATTTTAAAATAAATTTCAAACACGTCCTATATATATCCTAAAATCTGTCTTCCAATCAAATTGTATCAAATTAGATAAAGTACAATGGTTATCAAAATAGAACGAGAACATAATGGTTAAAAACTGTGTTATACCCAAAAGATACCCAGCTACAAAATTCTCTCAAAAGTTTCAACCGTCCCACTGTAGGGATTAAGGTAAATATGTCATAAAATTAAGGTGTAGGGCATAAGATCATGGAGGTCCATCAAGTAACGCGAAGTTATTTGCAGCATTATTTTCTTCACTGTACTCCGTGCAAGTCATTTATGCTAAACAAGACAGAATAAGCAATTTATATATTTTATTTAAACAGTCATACCATTTTTAAAAAAAAAAAAAATCAACAGTATTAAAAGTGACATAAGAAATGTGCTACATTGTCTTCAATGGCATTAGACTATAGGGCTCATTTTGTTGTAAATGACCACGGACAGCTTGAATTACATTTGGTGTGTGCGTCTCTAATCACAAACTCGCGACCAAACGGAGTTTCACAAACACTACACCGGCGGCGAGCAAACCAAACTCCGTCTCTAATAGCGGAACATTCCTCACTAAAACTTGGTGGTTTTAGTGACCAGACAAATTAACGTCTCCAATTGCCCTAAAAAAGATTTTAAAAAAAATAAAGGGTATGTTCTTTTGTCTAAAAAACTCAAAAAAAAACAACTCGAGTTTCAATTTTATTCAAGTTCACGTTCTTTTAAGTTTCAACTTTATTCAACTTTACTCAACTTTATTCAAGTTATAACTTCAACTGAAGTTATAACTCAAATTCAACTTAAAAACTACACTCAAATTACACTCTAAAAGAACAACCCCAAAGTGTCCAATCTATACTCATGAGAACTTGAGTTGTACATTTGAGTGCGTTTAGAATTAATTTTAAAATAATTTTGTTTTCAATAAAAAATAAAAATGAGATTATTTTAAGAATTATTCTTATACTAATTTTGAAATTGTGTTTGGTTGGTTTTTTAAGATATTATTTTGAGTATAATAAAAAAATAAAATCGTGTTTATTAATTAATATATTATAATATTATTGATATGTATTAAAAATGAAAACAAAAAAGTGAAAATAACTTTCAATTGTTTTCTAACTTTTTCACAAAAACTATTATCACTCTTATCGTTTTTTAAAATATTTACTAAATAAACGTCGTTGCATTTTTATTTATTTTTTATTTTTCAAAATACGTAAAAATCGTTTTTAAAAACGGTTTTAAACACGCGCAAAATATTTCTTTTTATTTTTATTTTTTGTTGTTGAGGAAACCATGTATTTCTTTTTTTTTTTTTTAATCAGTTAAAATAATATCGGAAGCAAAAAACCGGCAAACGTCCTTACCAACAAAACCAACAACAGAAACTTTATTCCCACTGCAGAGAACGTGTCAGCAATTAGATAAGCAACCCACAACGGCTTAATCAATTGTGAATGACAACTTTGGCCCCGTTCACTTCACCAATACGAGTTTAGAATTCGAGTTTTGCTACAGTAAAAAGCTTTCACAAACAATCACATCTAACTTTTTTGCTACAGTAAAAAGCTCTCACATAAAATCACATCTCAACTCGAATTACAAACTCGAATCAGCGTGAACGGACCCCAGAAAGCTATTATACTGATACACCTTGTTAAAGGTGTGCCCTTCTATTCTGTCGTTTGAACCCCCCAATTCCTCACCCAACAAACTTATACTGTCTTTAATATAGTTTTGGGCTTGATTAACTCACTTTTCAAATTGTCATATAGACTCTCCTTTTCATGTTTAAATTCTTTATATTTTCAACCATTTCTACTTTTATATATATTTTTTAATTTTATTTTGGCTTGTCCTCTCTCTTCTTTAACTTGTTATCTTTTTTTTTTTTTTGGGGAGATTTACTTTTTTTTTTTTTTTTTTTTTTTTTTTTTTTTTTTTTTTTTTAATTTATCAACTTCTATAACATTAAGGTATGTAGAGAGATCCATTAGGTTTCATTTTTATATTTATAATAATGTTGAAACATGCATAATATTATAATAAGTTATAAGTGGATAAATTTTTTATATTACGTTATGTTAGTTTATAATCAACTTTGTTTATATTTATATCTCTACTAGATTCAAAGTCTGACTCCGTCATTAGATCTCACCGTAGAGGCTCCTTATAAAAAAAAACAATTTTGAAGTTGTTCTTCACAAATGAAAAAGGAAGAAAGAAAAAGTATGAAAACGTTGGGCCAGCTTTCTTTGGACTGTGTTTTGGAATGCCAACTGATTAAATTGGGCTTTATCCATTCGACGAACGAACCATACCGAAAAGGATAAGCAAGCAGTCGCTATTCTCTCTTATCATCTTCATCCACACAGAAAACCAGAGGCAAAAGAAAAAAAAAAATGGCACAAACACTGGCTATGCCCGTGGCGCCTTCGCTTTCTGCAATCTGCAATGGTTTAAGCTCTATCTCTCTCTCCAATCGCCTCTCTTTCCCCACTACAAACCCCCTTCAGGTAATTCTCCTTTCTATATCTTATTGGGTCTTCGAAAACAGTTTTTTTTTTTTTTTTTTTTTTTAAGCTTCAAATTTCGGATTTATTTTTATTTTTTTGAATTGAAGATCATGGGTTGCTTTTTCTAAGTGGGTTTTTTATTGGTGAAATTTATTTTTAAAAAAATGAGGAGATTGGTGGGTTGAGCGTGAAATGTGCGCGTGTTGGAGGAGTGGAGATTCCAAACAACAAGAGGATAGAGTTCTCGCTCCAGTACGTTCATGGGATTGGACGAACCAGTGCTCGAAAAATCCTGAACGACCTCAGCATGGAAAACAAGCTCACCAAAGACTTCTCCGAAGATGAACTCATCATTCTCAGAGACGAGGTCTCTAAGTACATGATTGAGGGTGACTTGGTAAATAACTAACTTACTCCATTTCCCTTTTCTCTTCCACTCGAATCTGGATTTGGTCTTCTTCTAGTTTAGACTTGTGTACATTTTATTGTCTTTGGTCTATAATGCAATTGACTTGTTTTTACTACACACTTGAGAATCATTATAGGCCAATTAGGCTTATTCAATGTTATGTTATTTAGAGGGTGAGAGTTTTGCTTTTCTCTGATATGCTACTTACTTGAAGCCAAAGGATGATGGTGCGTGAAATCCAAACAGTGGCGGAGTCGGTAATTTTTCTCAGCGGGGGCACTATGAAAACGTTAGCGATAATTTTTTTACACATTCTGGACATGGTTATACACCTCAATTATCAAGTGCAGAAATAGTTATGATCTATCTTATAAAGTGGGGGCAGGCTGAAATGTTGGGAAAATTTTAGGGAGAAAAATCAATTTTTTCAAAATTTAAGTGATGTGCCGCCGTGCAGTAAATTGCGGCTTCCCCACTGAATCCAAATGTGTAATTTGTTAAGCATCTAATGTTAAATTTCATAGACGTTTGCTTCTAGTTCTGTAGGGGGTTGGCTCTAATAGATTTGAGTGTTGTTTTTTGTTTTTCTCAGAGGCGTTTCAATGCCCTGGCTATAAGGAGATTGAAGGAGATTCAGTGCTATAGAGGGGTGCGCCACATTAAGGGCTTGCCGTGCAGAGGACAGCGCACCAAGAACAACTGTAGGACATTGAAGGGTAAGAAGGTAGCCATTGCTGGAAAGAAAAAGGCCCCTCGTTAACCATATTGGTTTTGTTCTATCTTTCTTTTTGTGAAATTGATGTACTGTTGTATAGACTTGCTTATGATTTTAGTTAATCAAATTTGTTATTAACCTTTTGAGATGCAACTTGTAGTCATGTTTTCTTTGTGGAGTTGAGATTCTTCATTCTTGGCAGTGTATTATCATGTTTTCTCTTAGTCCTGTTGTTGTCTTGTTTTGCATTTGTTCACTGTTAAATCTTTTTATGATTAGAAAATATTTTGTGAGGGTTGTGCCTGTGAAGTTAGAATGAAAGTTTGGATCAATCTGATTGTCAAAAGCTAACTATGAACTACCTCTGATATATAACTATTTCGCACTAAAAGTTACATATTTGGCTTTTGGGATGAGATGGAGAAAGGCCAAAACTACATTAGAGTTCATCTGTTAGCCTTCTTTATCTGCAACAAGTGCATCTAATCTGGTTTTTTGCTTCATTGTTGCTCTGCTTCCCAGCCGTGAATATACTTCTGGTAGGATAGATTTTGTATAACAAAAGTTGTCTACGATGGTGATTACACTTGTGTATATTTGACTGAGAGTTATATAAAAGAAGCTGTAGTGAAATCTACTTTCTTCTGGTATGGATGGACTGTCATTTTATCGTTCAATAGCTTTATTCTTGTCCCTTAAGGTTGACTTATTGTTTGTTTGCTCTTGGATATATAGGCAGTCAGTGTTGAGAAACGTAATCCTTCTGACTTTAGTACTCCACTCTTTTTAACGGATTTTCTCAGGCGTCGGGCTTCCTTTTTCTTTTAACATCCTGTTGGTTGTCTAAGATAGATATAAACTTTAGTTAGTCTCTGAATTGAACTAGGGTACGACTGACCATTTCTAGTTGCGCAGTGCAGTAAGTTTTTCAGGCGATAAATGATGATCAAATCAATCGAAAATGTTGAACTTCTTTGCTGTTGGGTCCTACTACCTAATAAGAAAAAGGTCTAAATTTCATTCACAATTTCATCACCGTCCAAAAAAATTGATTGCATGATACGGCCGGAAAATGATTTTTTGTACCGTGGTTCTGCCAAGAGTCTCTTGCTATCTCAAATCAAAGCCAAATGCTTCCGTTTGATGCACATTACATGTGTTTTACTGGTTGTCAAAGCCCTCACTATGACACCGGTTGCATTGTTTCATTTATGTTCTACTTGAGCTGCTCTAGATTCCCTGATTAAGTTACTCAGTCCACATCCAGCACTTGATTTATCAAACTAGAATCAAATTCTTGTTTAACATATGAAAGTAAACATCATAGAAAGGTTCCATTATTTCAGTGACCCTTTCTGTTTTGCTATTCTCATGGCTCAACATATCTTCTCTACTCCGGGGTTTCACTGTACTAGGCAAAAATTTGGCCAAAGCCAAGGCTAACACAACCCGACTTAGCGATACATGAAGCCAGCAGCACAAGTCAAAAGAACTTGGCTCGCTATGTTGCTTCCTCTATGTGATTATGGATTCTTTTGCTCTCTCTTCTTTTACTCACTTGTTGCTTTCAGTACCGTGTAAATCTTTGATTCACTGCTCTTATGTGTGATTATGCCCTTCCATTCATAAATCACGCTTCCCTCATGAGATTAGTTTGGCTATCCGCCTCCAACAAGACACAAAACTTCTCCCCGCATGAGCTAGCATGGTTATGAATTCAACTGCTAGAGTCTCACTTCATTCATAAAGAGCTTAGCAAACATCTAATAACCGGTACAGAACAAACTAGGAGAACAAATCCTATTTACAATGCAGAATACTAGAATCTCTTATTAGCTTTTGAAGGAAATGAAGGTAGTGATATAAAAACCAGGGTTTTTTTTCGGAAAAAATAAATAAAAATGCTTGGAGCACCTTAGCATCACAACTAATAGAAATGACACTTTCTAGGAGTCCCATTCCATGGCATGCACTTTCTATTAGTTGTGCTGGCACTCGTGCCCCTAGCATTGCTCGATCTACTTTCATATGCTAACGAAAATGTTAACAATAAAGATTTCAACTAAAAGCTTCCCATTTACCAAAAGAAGTACAGAACAGTGCAGTAAATCCCACGTTCAAAAACCCAATTGTATTCTTTCCATCAATTGGCATGAGGAAATTTCAAATAGTAAAGAATTTCTTATTTCCAAAACCCCAAAAACCCAGAAAGACAAGCTTCAACAAATGGCAAATAAAGAAAGAGAAACACAAAACCGATTACACTCATCTCTTCTTCACGGGGGATCCGCGATCCTTCTGGGTTCGAGCGTTGGTCTTTGTCCTTTGTCCTCTGCAAGGCAAGCCGTCGCTATGCCTAATTCCTCTGTAGCACTGAATATCCACCAATCTCCTCACGTCTCTCTCAACGTAACCCCTCTGAGATTGAAAACCTCAAAATTTGTCATCGATTCAAAACAAAAAATTGGGAAAATTAGGTGGATGCCAAATTTGGCCGCCACTTTCAAATTAACGGCCAAACTTTTTTTTTAAACGTGTTCATTCAATCACTGATCTACTATAGTGATAATCCAGATAATTATTGATTTACAATGATTGAATTGTTTAATATTGGTTTATCACCAACTGATATTAGTCAATTAGTGCACCAAGCCCCAATCAGTTGCAAATTTATCATTGATTTACCATGCTATATCAATGATACACTGCTATTTTTCTATGTTTGCACCGACCCCGAGATAATTAACGAGACAGTGCTAGGGCAAAAGAGAGAGAAAGAGGGTTTTACTAATTCTCTTC